TGATTTTCAGTTTGGCCAAATAAGTGCTTGCTGCAAACTATTATATAGTTCAAAGCAAATAAGCTATTCTGAATTCTAATAATTACATTCTCTAAAATATAAAAACCCAATTGCCCTACAGCTCTCAATTTCAGTTTTGAGAATCCAATTATTTCCTAAACAATGGAGTGGGTAACCACAGAAACTTGTGGAATGTCTTTTCCTAGAAAACATGAAGAACAGGAGAGAAGCCAGTTTGTCTGGAAACGGCTTCAAATTCTATCTATAAGCAGAGGCTGGACCAGATCAGATGCCCCTCGGAGGATCCTTCTAGGCCTATATAACTAAGACACTGGGAGAAATAACTAAAATAATTATCTGTAGTTTACACCCAGGAAAGTAAAATAAATACAGTTCAACATCTCTTAATGCAGTCATTAGAAATAATTTTACTTGGACCTGGTGATGCTTTTATAGGCATATTTTTCTTAAATTGTGCTAAACCATCCCAAGCTATCAATTTAAATATGAGCTTTCTCTAGCAAGACAGAACAGAGATTATTATAACTTAACAACACAAAAAACAAGATTATTCTATTGTTCCATCTTTCAACCTACCTGTTTCCATGTACCCCAAATTTACTCATTCCTAAAGCTTTATAAGAAACACTACTTCCCCCAAATAGTCCATGCAACTCTCCCATTAATGATTTTCTAGTGCATCTATTACTCATGGCACACTATGCAGCCACTTATTATAAATTGTCTTCTACTCGTATCTTTTGCAAATAACAATTTTTGTTCCCTTAGCTATAATGTAAGCTCCTTGAGCGAGGTCCGAGTTCTATATTTCTCGTGTACTCCTCTATTGTGTCAATAATGAGTTCATGACACATGCTTACAAATTCTCATTGGCTGACTAATTGATTTAAAATGAAGAGAGAGGGGCACCTGGGTAGCTCAATTGGTTAAGTGTCTAACTCTTGAATTTGGCTTAGGTCATGAACTCAGGGTCCTGAGATGAAGCCCTGTGTCCGGCTCTGTGCTGGGCACAGAGCCTGCTTAAGAATCTCTCTCTTGGGACGCCTGGGTGGCTCAGTCGGTTAAGCGGCTGCCTTCGGCCCAGGTCATGATCCCAGGGTCCTGGGATCAAGTCCCGCATTGGGCTCCTTGCTCAGCAGGGAACCTGCTTCTCCCTCTCTCTCCCTCTGCTTGTGCTCTCTCTGTCAAATGAATAAAATCTTAAAAAAAAAAAAAAGAATTAAAAAAACATCTCTCTCTCCCTCTGCCCCTTCTCGCACTTGCATGCATGTGTGCACATACTCTCTCACTCTCAAATAAATAAATAAATACAATAAAACAAAGCAAAACAAAATAAAATAAAATAAGAGAAAGCAAGAGCTATAGAATACTCTCTAAACTGAGGATGAAAATGAAGCTTTGGCAAAATCTAAAATAAAGTTCTCAGACTGCTATATATTGACATCTGTCATTTACCTGAAACTAGAATAGTTGAAGGTTAATACCCACAGGGGCTAAAGAGAAAGACCTAGAGTTAAAGATCACACTGGTTTAGCTCCTGTCCTATAAGGGACAAGGAACTATCAAGGGGCGCCCACTCACAACACTGCAGATGGAGGCCATTTTGGAAAGCGCAGCACACTCCCCAGATCACAGAGCTGTGCAGGCTCTGCCTCTACGTGAGATCAAAGATTCATTCTGTCAGGCCAAGTCAGACAGGGGGTAATAAAGGGAAAGGAAAAGAGATTTAGCAAATTAAAATATTGTAACATTATTTCAAAAAACCAAGTGAAACTTAAGTTTTCTCATTCTTCATAATCCAAGAAACACATCTAGAACAAGACTAAGGAGCTCTAGAGTCCAACAATTACCAGTGCAGCACTCTACATACTTATAAATGGGGATGCAGAACCTCCTGCTCCCTTCTTTACATATGAAAAGGGAACTTCTTGCCCATACTACAAGGCAGGTACTGTTTTAGGAACTGGGAATAGAGCGGTTTACCAAACCCACAATTTTAGTAACAATTACATAAAGCCTTAGCTTAGTATTTTGCAAAAATAAGAGACCTCCAGGATGGTCCAAATCTCTTATCTTAGAGGAGAAAACCAAGGCCCAGAGAGGTTAACTAATTTGTCTCAGTTGGTTATCGTGGCTATATGGCAACAAAGGCAGGGAATAGAAACCAGATTTCTTATCTCTTCTCTAGTAACAAAATTTACTTGCTCTTTCAGTAACTATTTCTTTGTGCCTATTTTATGCCACACGTACGGTAGGTACCAGGTATACAAATGGGTTAGACACTGACTCTGTCCTCAAAAATTTCAGTGTAACTCTAAGATGATGGGATGAGCACCTTAACAGAAGTGGTAACAGAAAAAAAGCAAACTCTAATTGTGTAGGACTTCCAACGTTTTATTTATTTTTTAAGATTTTATTTATTTATTTGAGAGCGAGCCCGTGTGCAGCAGGGGAGGAGCAGAGGGAGAGGGACGAGCAGACTCCATGCTGAGCTCGGAGCCCCACTCGGGGCTCGATTTCAGGACCCTGAGATCATGACCTGAACTGAAATCAAGAGTCGGACACTTAACTGACAGCCACCCAGGACCGTGACTTCCAACATTTTAAAAGAAAATGAACAGTTAATCATTTGTTTTATCCCCACCATAGCCCTACGAGAACAGAGCACGGGTTTTATTACACCTGTTACATAGATGGAGAAATTGAAGTACAAAGAGGATAAGGGAGTCTATTAAGGTCATCTCTAGCAGCAGCAAAATGCCTAGAAACCAAGTCTGTTTACACCAGGATAGCCATTTTTTCCCCACTAGATGGGAAAAGGCAGATGTTCTTTTTATGACCAGTTCCCTTCTGACCAAGAGCACACATTTGCAAGACGGTGTGCAGAACAATCTGTGGCTACGAAAGTAGACTTAACTGGCCTGTGAGGTCTCATCAGCTGAGTGTTGTTATTCGATGGTTGAGTAACCAACCAACGAGACATCATTATTACTAGCATTCTTAAAGTGCCCATTATACATATACAGAATAGATGGGAAAGGTTCTGCCCTCAGGGAGTTAATATTGTAGGGAACAGGGTTATAAACATTTCAACAAAAAGTGACATAATTAAACAAACTACAACTAGAATAACCACTACAAATAATGGCTAATTTAAGACACTAAAGGTTTTGCACAGCAAATCTAGTGGATGCTTCAGGAAATATAGTCTTACAGAGAACAGAAGCCTTGTATACATACTGATTTAGACCAATCTTCAGATTATTAAAATAAAGACTCTTTCCTACCAAGAATGTTCATCACATTTAAAAAAATTATTAATTTCTTAATTCCTTCATTTCACCTTTCACGTTTACTTAAAACAATTATATGAATATTCCATTTCCCTCTTTCTAGGAACGTTACATATTTTGTAACGTTCCCTATTTAAGAAGAATGAATTTATTATGGTGGCTCCCATCAGCATGTCTTTGGCAAAATGATTAAAAGCAGGGTGGTTTCATTGTGTTATTCTTCCGCCCTCCTTCAGACGTAACCTAAATGGAATGAATCTGATGATTTTCTCCTATACATAGTAAAATCTGTATACACATCTGAGAATCACTCACTTTATAAAAAGTAAAAGGGAAAAGAGCATTTCTTCACTGTCACGTTCAGTTTTAAACATTAATTTCACTGTTAATTATCTCATATTTTATTTATGCCATTATTTATCATGGCCTTATAACATGACCAAACTGTTTTAAACCTTAATACTTCTTAGAATTACTAACAAAATAAAGAAAGCTAAGGAGAAACAAATATTAGTGATTTCAAACTACAGAGAGGAAGAACTTCTTTAGAAACTGGCTAATAGTAAAAATCGTAATCATCCTTTCAAACTAATGGTAGCATTATTTTAAAAATACAACTTGATTAAAACAACAACAACAACTCTCCAGTATTTCCTGAATACACTCAGGGGATTCACACTTATAGCCAGTTACTTTCTTTTTAAATATTTGAATTTCATAGGGTGATAAGTAGCAATTTAAATGACAATTCAGAACTATCAGTAGGTTTCATTCGAATTATCAACAGTGCATCATAAAATTATTCCATGACATTTTCTAATTCCTAAAACTCACTTCCATCACAAGAAAATATTTTAACAAGTAACAGCTTAAAACCTAAATTAAAAACTGTGATAATCAGCCTTTTTAGGTAGGAGAGGAACAGGGGCCTTAGTTTATCTATAGATCATTAAGAGAAGTACTGGGCCTAATTGGATCCTAAATGAAGTAAAGAAAGTAATTAAACATGCAGCGACAGTGACATCTAGTGTCAGCACTTGGCCACTGGACTACCATCAAATCCTCCCAAGTGCTGAAGAAACAACTATTCAAAACTTTTCTTTAAAAACCAACAAACGGAACTTGTGCATTATATCTAAAAATTACCCATAATTAAACTGTTTCAATAAGTTTCCTTCCAGACATTAAAAAAAAATCTTAAAAGGAAAACATCTTAAAGAAAAACCATAACACTAAAGACCTAAAAGTAAACAAGCATTGTTTATTCCATGTGGCCAACATCTATCTGTAACTGCTCCCCTTGGCTACAGAGTTTAATGCAAAAAAGCAAAGATACTACACAAGCTAGTACTTGGTTAACACATCAAGAAAAAGCAACTTAGACATTTCAGGAATACCTGAAGATGCAAAGAAAAAAAAAAACTTCAGCTGTTGCACTGAGAAACAAGCTCAATATTTCAGCCCTTTCTACCTTGCTGTATTTTTGTTGCTTTGAAAGGTCCACTTATTAAACAGTAGGTATTTTTGCTGAAGAGCTTAGAATTTGGCAGCCTACGTTAATTTACTATAGCATTTTAATAGTTTTATGCTCTAGATGAATCCATAAAAGTAAGCAAATTTCCAAAAATTATTTTTGGCCAGGACAATATTTTGTAAAAAGTAAAGTTAGCATTAGATGAAGCTTACCTATTTTTTTTGGAGAGTTCATCCTTTCCTCTTTTAACTCCAAATATTCTTGTGATCAAGGTACTAAAAAGAAGTGTGGATGAATTTCTCACCTAATGTAAAAATAAACGCACAATAAGGGTTAAGAAATACACATGGCATGAAACCAACATTTACAATGTTCAAACTTGACATTCAAAGTCCTTACCCAATTGGCTAATGTGGGGCTAAAGCAAATATGGTTTGTGTTCATGAAATAATTTTCAAAAACTGTATAGTAACTGACTCAATGACTTCCTCTTACACTAAGCTCTATAATTCAACCACATGCACACAACACAGCTCTTTCCTATACTTCTAAAATTACCACCAATTATTTTATTTCTTTGTACTTGTATCATCAAATAACATATATATTTAATTCATTTTCCTATATCGTTTCTGACAAGGACTAACCCAATAAAGAGCTCAGCTCTTTCCACTTATTTTCTGTAAGCATTTACCTATGGGAAATATTTATAAGACGTAACTCAGTCCACATTAATTAATATGGTCAAGAAAATACTTATTATCCAAAATGTTGTTTATTAACCCCACAATGGAATAATTTAATAAATTTGAACCCTATAATCGTCTGAGACAACTGGTTAATAAAAATAAGAGGAGGGAGGGGCGCCTGGGTGGCTCAGTTGTTAGGTGTCTGCCTTCAGCTCAGGTCATGATCCCAGCATTGGGCTCCCTGCTCAGCAGGAAGCCTGCTTCTCCCTCTCCCACTCCCCCTGCTTGTGTTCCTGCTCTCACTCTCTCTGTCAAATAAATAAAATCTTTAAAAAACAAAAAATAAGAGGAAGGAATTATCTTTAGTAAACACAAGTCATTTCTTCAAAATGATAATAACAGGGACACCTGGGTGGCTCAGTCCCTTAAGTGTCTGCCTTCAGCTCATGTCATGATCCGGGGTCCTGGGATCAAGTCCCGCATTAGGATCCTTGCTCAGTGGGGAGCCTGCTTCTCCTTCTCCCTCTGCCTCTCCCCCTGCTCATGCTCTCTCTCTCTCTCTGACAAATAAATAAATAAAATCTTTTTTTTAAAAATGGTAATAACAGAGATACCTATTTCCAAACCAATGTGTCAAGATGTTTTGTTGGATCATAAAAATGTCTTGAGTGCCATGGTATACTGACTGGGCTTCCTCGATTACCTTGCCAAATCAGAGCAGAGATGTATAAATACTTCCCTACAGTGTGTAAGGCATGATACCAGCACCATGGAGAATATCTAGAAGACACACTTATGGCCAACACAGAACTTATTTTCTAATGAGACAGGTGTCATAATCACATGGTATGTTTAAATAGCTATTAATATAGGAAGAAAGGTAATTAAAAGTAACAATGTAAGATTTATAAAACAGCCGCCTGAAACCACGGCAGCACGGGTCACAAACTCAAATGCCCACAGAGGGCAGTGAGTGGCAGAGGCAGCGCCAGCCTGGGTCTAATGCAGTCACTATTCAGCTTCAGCTGAGTTGCACAAGGGAAGGTAAGCCCAGTGTTGCCAGATCTGCCTTCTCGAGAGAAGCCAGAAAACCCAGTTTTTATGTGAAATCTTACTATTTGTTAACGTTGGCAACAAATTAAAGGAAAAACAAAACAAAACAAAACATCAAGGCCAAATAAAACACAGTTGCAGGCTAGATTAGACCCATCAGCCACCAGTTTGCAACTTCTCCTCCAGAAGCTCAATTCATGCACTGGAACTTTAGGTGTGGGCTACAATTCATACCAAAGTGGCATAATTCATACCAATATTGCAATGAAACCCTAAAATTGGACAAATTCACTTATGTTCATTCCACAGTCAACAAACATTAATGAAGCCCCTACTATACGCCCTGACTAATATCCCCAGGCAACAAATCAATCTGTCCTGTTAAAACTGTCAACACGGCCTCTGCCCTAGCTCAGATCTTGATTATCTCTCACCTGGTCTATTGACTTAGTGCCCAAAGACTCTTGGGTTTAAGATGACTTGGTAAAGGGCACCTGGGTGGCTCAGTCGTTAAGCATCTGCCTTCGGCTCAGGTCATGATCCCAGAGTCCTGGGATCGAGCCCCACATCGGGCTCCCTGCTCAGCGGGAAGCCTGCTTCTCCCTCTCCCACTCCCCTTGCTTGTGTTCCCTCTCTCTCTGTGTCTCTGTCAAATAAATAAATAAAATCTTAAAAAAAAAAAAAAAAAGATGACTTGGTAAAGTCATAAAACCCGGTGTCCTCTCAGGAATCACACGAAAACCAAAAAAGAAAAATAGAAGCACAAATCCCATCCTGCCCTAAACCAAACTTTCTAACAAAGGCTGCCAGATGCAGTCAAGCTAAAATAGGAGTTCCGGAAGACGAAGTGAATGAGAACCCCCAGGGAGAAAATCCCTTGTCTGATTCAATAAGCTGGAGGCAGGAGACAGTCTTTCAGTAATATTAAGATAGATCTGAGGGTTCCAATAGTAGTAGTCTGATCCATTCAGTATCACGTTCCCTCATTAGCTGCCAAGAATCATCACTGCCTATTCTAGTAGGTGTAGCAACATGGTGATATTCTACCATTAATTAGTTACAATTTTCAGAAAGTAAAGTTTTCCCTCATCCACTCTTTGGTTACCCTGTTACTGGATTACTAGAGAATCATTTCCATAAATTTACCAGTTTGCAGAATAATGAGTTAATGCCACAGCAGCCCCCAAAGATCACCAAATAATGATCTTTTAAGACATTAAAGAAAATTAATTTTCCTTTTCTTGAGATAAAATTCACACACCATAAAATCTGCCATGTTAAAGGGTACTATTCAGTGGTTTTTACTATATTCACAAATTCGGAAACTACCACCACTACACCTAATGCCACAATATTTTCATCACTCCAAAATGAAACCCTATACACATTACTAGTCATTACACATCCTCTCCCACTAGGCAAGCACTAATCTACTTTTTGTCTCTATGGACTTGCCTATTCTGGACATTTCATATTCGTGGGATCATGCAATATGCAGCCTTTTTTGTCTGGCTTCCTTCACTTAGCTGTTCTCAAGGTGCACCCATGTTGTAGCATGTATCAGTATGACATTCCCTTTCATGGCCAAATAATATGCCATTGCATGGATATACCACATTTTTAAAATCTACTCATCATTTGATGGACATCTGGGTTATTTCCATTTGGGGGCTAGTATGGATAATGATGCTATGAACACTCACATACAAGTTTTTGTGTGAACGTGTTTTCATTTCTTTTGGGTATATAGGTAGAAATGGTATTGCTGGGTCATATGGTAATGATAGAGTAGGCAGTCAGACATGAGCTGGAGGCAAAGGTGGTAATAAATAGGTGACACATTAGAAGCTTGGGGCATGACATCCTGACTTTGTGGCTTTTAACATCCTGGCCTCACGGCTTCCAACACTGACAGACCAAGAGTCACAGGTACAGAACATGCGCGCTCCTCTTCAATCTCTGCCCCCAGGGTAACCTATAGCTTCATTATAATATATTCACATTGTGGTTTCTTCAACCCACCCCTGACTTATCCCCATGGCAGAAGATGGCCATGACAGTTCTGGGTCAAAAACTCCACCTCCCAACCAGTAGGAGTCCCTTAGATGATTAGAAACAATGTAAGTCGAAGACTGCCCTAGTTATGACCCACAACCTATGCAAACATAGAAAGAAAAGATACCCCCTAACCCCGGTACAGTTGCCACCTCTGGGCCTGCCCACTCGCCCACCTTGAGAGTGTAATTGTCCTTCATAAACTGCTTTGTGCCTGCTACTTTCCTTCCAGCCGCCTTGATTTGAGTGTGGATCCTCACGCAAATCTTTCATGGGGAATCCAAGAACCAAGACCTCCATTCACACAATGCAGACTCTCCCATTGGTAACAGCAACTGTACGTTAACCTTTTGAGGACCTGCCAATGTGGTGGTACCATTTTACATTTGCACAAGCAATATATGAGGGTTCTGATTTCACCAATTCTCTAAATGCTCCCCAATAATTGTTATTGTCCATCTTTTTGATTATAACTATTCTAAATGGATGTGAAACGGTATCTCATTATGGTTTTGATTTGCATTTCCCTACTGATTAATGATGTTAAGCATTTTTTCATGTGCTTATTGTACATTCACATATCTTTTCTGCAGAAATAATTTCAAGTTCTTTGTCCATTTTTTAACCGGGTTGCCATAATTTTTCTCACTGTTTTAAGAATTCTTTATATATTCTGGGGCATCTGGGTGGCTTAGTTGGTTGGGCATCCAACTCTTGATCTCATCAGCTCAGGTCTTGATCTCAGGGTCCTGAGTTCAAGCCCCCAGCAATGGAGACTACTTAAAAAAAAGAAAAAGAGTTCTTTACATATTTTATATACTAACCAAATATCAGATACATGATTTACAAATATTTTCCCCCATTCTATCAGTTGTATTTTCATTTTCTTGATGGTATCCTTTGAAACACAGACATTTTAAATTTTGATCAAGTCTAATTTATCATTTTTCTTTTGCTGCTTGTGCTCTAGGTGTCATATCCAAGAAACTGTTACCTAATCCAAGGTCACAAAGATTGACAGTTAATATCTTCTTCTAAAAGTTTTACCACTTTAGCTTTTACATTTAGGAGTCTGATCCATTTTGAGTGAATTTTTTAATATGGTGTAAGACAGGAAGCAAATTGATTCTTCTGCATGTAGTATATCCAGTTGTCCCTGTACCATTTGCTGAACAGACTATTCTTTCCCCCACTGAATTGTCTTTTTTTACTAAATGTTAGGTTTTATTTCTAGACACTTAATTCTATTCCATTGATTTATAAATGTCTATCCTAATGCCAGTACCATGCTATCTTGATTACTGTTGCCTTTGCTGCAAGTTTTGAAATCTGAGCATGTGAATCCTCTTTTTTTTTTCAAGATTGTTTTGGCTATTCTGAGTCCCTTGCATTTTCATCTGAATTTTACAATCACTTTGTCAATTTCTATAAAAAATTCAGATGGGATTTTAATAGACATTATATTGAATCTGTAGATCAATTTGGGGAGTATTGCCATCTTAACAGT